TGCCAGGCCAGGGCTTTGTTGTCCGCCATGTTGTTGATGGAAGACGGCGGCCGCCGCGGCGGCGACGGCAGACGGGCTCCGGCCGTAGGGTTGCCCGAAACCGTAGGCTGGGGGCGGCAAGGCGGCCGCGGCTGAGTGAGGAGGCGCCCCCACCCCGTCGCTGCTGCCGCCACCACCGCCGCCGGGCGGCTCCGTGAGGTTATTGTTCAGGGCGGGCCTAGGGCCCGCGTTCCCGTTCGAGTTCTTCAGGTCCGGCTCCGCGCCGGGCCCGCCACCGCCGCCGGCTCCGCTGCCGCCGCCACCCCCATTGCTCTCAGCCCCGTCCTGCAGCTCCTTTCCCAGTGGCTGCGGCGGCCCCACGGCGGGGCCCTCGCTTTCCTGCCCGGCGGCTGCCTTCATTTCCCCGCGCTCGGCCGCTACCGCCGCCGCCTCGCCCCCCGCCTCCTCCCGCTGCTGCTGCTCCGCTTTCTTCAGCTCCGAGGGCGGCGGCGGCGGGTTGCCCAGGCTGCTGGCGGCGGCGGGGGCGACCTGCGCGGCCATGATCCCCGCTGTCTCGTCCGCGGAGAGACCCGGCCCTGTCTTCGTCTTCTTTCCCCCTCCCACCCCGCCCCGGGGCTGAATCCCCCGGGCTGCCCTCCCCACTCGCCCGGGCGGGCCTCGCGGGGCTCCGCTGCTGCGCTGCGCTCGCTCGCTCCTCTCCCCCCCGCCCCGCCGGCTCAGGCTCCGGGCTGGCGGCGGCGGAGGAGGAGGAGGCGGCGGCGGCCGAGGCGCCGGCGGCTCAGCTGCTCCCGGCTCTGTAGGCTCGGGACCCGGCTCTCCCGGCTCATTCCCCCCAAGCCCTTGCCTGGGAATGAGGGGGGCGGTGGAGGCTCCGCTCCCCAGGGCCTGGCCCCGCTGTGACTCTCCGCTTTCTGCTGCCGGAGAAAGGAGGAGGGAGGGAGGGAGGGAGGCAGGCGAGGGGGAGGGGGCGGGGAGGGAGGGAGGGAGCGGGGGGAGGGGGACCCGGGACGGGCGGGCTGGAGGGCGCGCGGCAGCAGCCCAGGCGCCGGGAGGTAGAGTCGGAGCGTAGGCCGGGCCGGGCGCCCTGCCTCCCCTCCCCGGCCGCGGCGCGGGCTGAGGTTGCTGCGCGGCAGCGGGCGGGCGAGCGGGCGGGCGGCCGGACTGAGCGGCTAGAGCGCCCCACTCTCCTCCGAGTCCCCCTCACTCCGACACGAGGCTCAGCACTGCCATTTTACCCAGCGCCGTCGCGGCCGCCTGGCAAACCCGGAGCGGAGCGCGGAGCGGGCGCAGGCCGTGGAACGGACTCGCTCCCGTCCCTTCACAAAGGAGGAGGGGAGAGAACCAGCCGCGGCGGCGGCAGGCCCTCTGCCGCTTTCGCTCGGCAGCGCCGCCGCCGAAGGCTTCGGGGAAAACCCGGCCCGGAGCTCGCGCCTCTCCGGAGCCTGCGCCGCCTCCCTCCTGGCGTTCCTACCCAGGTCGGTCCCCTCCAGGCCGCTCGTAGGGGAGCGGGCAACCGTGAAGTTTACTTGGGGCTGCAAAATTGGCCTGAGCCCGAGACCGCGGCCGCTTCGGCCCAGGCCTGACCCCCTGGCAGCGGGCCTGGTCTCTTGGCTGCTACTTAGCACCTCTACAGCACTTTTCTTCTTCAAAACCTTTTACAAACCCGCTCCAAAGAACCAGCTGAGCCTTACAGTTTATCCCCTTTGCAAGCTGCATGGAATGACAGATCATTGTTTTAGACTTTCCGTTTTCCCACTCCTCTGCCCTCATTAGTCAGTCCTCACAAGGCCCTGGGGGCATGAGGTCTATTATCTCCATTTTACAGAATCAAGACAGAGTGTAGGGGACTGCCCTGTCACTTAAAGTCAGAGCAGAGGAGGGTGGCTTTAAAAAGCAGCAGAGTCCCCACAGCTGCCCCTAACTACTTAGCATTAAAAACAAACAAAAAACAGTGGTCAAGGGCTTCCCTGGTGGCACAGTGGTTAAGAATCCGCCTGCCAATGCAGGGGACACAGGTTTGAGCCCTGACCGGGGAAGATCCCACATGCTGCGGAGCAACTACAGCCGTGAGCCACAACTACTGAAGCCCGCGTGCCTAGAACCCGTGCTCCACAACAGGAGAAGCCACAGCAATGAGAAGCCTGCGCACCACAACAAAGAGTAGCCCCCACTCACGGCAACTAGAGAAAGCCCGTGCACAGCAACGAAGACCCAATGCAGACAAAAATTTTAAAATTAATTAATTAAAAAAAAAACAGTGGTCAAGTTGTGCCATATTCAACAATGTGATCAGAACATCAGAATGGGTTTGAGATCAAAGCTGGTCATCTCAACACTGACTTAAAATAGTCACCACTGAAGCTACTTTGAGGGCATATGACAGCCTTCAAGCGGGAGAACACAAGCCCCACCTTTGCCCACAATGACCAAGAGCCCTAGTCTCCAAAGACAGTACCTGTAAAACTGTAAACAGATCACAGAAGAGGCTTCAGGGACTGGAGGAACCTAAGTGTTCAAAGAAACCACTGCAGAAGAGGGATGACCAAATGGAGGAAACTATTTTCTCCTTAAAGAGAAAAGGTGCAGTCTAACAGGTCACTTAGAAAACAGATGCAACCCAAATTTGTTTTCTGTCCTACACTGTAAAGAATCATCAAAGTTTACCATTACATTCTAAGAGATGCTGATTGAGCTGCAGGCATACATAGAAATTTCTAGATCCACAGGCCCCACCAAATCCCAGCAGCAGCCTTTTCCTCCTCTGGCTGACTTGGAATGCTCTGACATGACAGGCTACAAAAGCCAGAGGGGATTCCAGCTCCTCACCAAGCCCAAGGCTGCCTTGGGAGAGGCCAAGCCATCTGGTCACTAGACACCAGGGCCTTTTTCCCCCTTAGATTCTGTAAATGGAGACTTCATGGCCACAGAACCATTACCTTAGAACTTCCAGATTCTGCAGGCCCCTGGAGTTTTGGCCATGCCACTGGTCACTGAATAATTCTGAAAACCTGAACTCATTCTTACCCCCAAGAAAACCTAAGAGCATCTTACACTAAAAAAGCAAAAACTTCCTACTGGTGTTTTCTTTCCCCCCAAGCCAAGAACCAAACTGGCCTACCAGGATCTGACTGACTGGAATGGACCAGTGCCCTGCTTTCACTCACAGTCCTCAGGGGCAACAACTTGCCCGGTGCATTAGGTCCTAGAAACCAGATTATAGGCTGCCTCTTAAATGGAGCTTGGCTATTTAATCAACTGCCTCTGAGCTGGCAAACAGTCCTGAGTCCTGCACACAAATGAGGAATTTTTTACATGCAATTACCCTGCCACTTCCCTCAGAGGTGGAGTATAATGAGAAACCTGGAGCCCAGTGAAAATCTGGAAGCCAGAATGAATTTGTCTTCAGAGGAAGCCCTCATCCCCTTTCTTCAATGGCTGTGAAATTTGGAAAGTGCCAAAATCCCTGTCCGACACGTGGGCAGGCTGTTTTGGAAACAGCCACCATTTTTGTCTAGCAATAAAGTGCGCAAAAAATCTCTCCACCTGGGTTGGAGGAGGTAGTAATGTCGGATTTCTCCTTTCCCACTTTTTTTTTTTTTTTTAATCTCAAATCCTTTAGGGTCCTCTTCCACCCCTACCCTTAGAGCCCCACATCACTATCCCGAGTTGACGGGAACTTTCTTAGAAACTGGCCCATCAGCTTTCCCTAGGGGTAATGGCTGCGGGAAAGGGGGGAGGGGAGGAACTGGGCACGTGGCTGGCCCGAGCTCCGAGACCCGGGTTTGGGGCTGTGGGTCCTCCTGTTGGTGGAGTTTTCTCCCCCACGGCCCCTGCCTTTTAACCCCACACCTAGGCAGCTCAGGAATCCCGGCGCCGATTGGAGAACTAGGACTAGGACAGCGCTACCCGCACGAAAGCTCCTTTGCCACCAACAGCCTGATGGCAAATATGGACTGTATCGTTGACATGGAAACCGGACTAAAGTCTCGCTCGCTCCGTCACAAGAGAGTTCTTATCGCCATCCCCTACCGCACGGCACTTGGCAAACGTGGACTGGATCTCCGGCCCGGAGGATCAGGCGGAGTTTTCTGCGCGCAGCATTAACTCCCGCGGCTGCCGCAGCCAAGGAAGGGGGCAGGGCTGCCAGGACAAACCGACTGAAAATGGCAGAAAATGTGCTCTCATTTTATCTGGCTACACAGTGTGCATGGATTGGGCCCGAGAGTAAGGGAACAGCCTATTAAAATCCACGCAGTCAACTGCAAAATGTGGAACCGAGGCCTGGAGGGTTTGCTAAGAGAGGGAAACGTTTGCAGGGAGGACAGCCCTTCCTCTCTGGCAATTTGCTTCCCAAATGTCCGAAATACAAAATTCAACAAACAAACAAAAGATCGGGCCCGGCTCCTTCCTTTCCCCACTCTTTGAAGGAAGACGTTTAAGCCCAGGGACCCAAGTGAAGGTTTGCCTCGGTTCTGAACTAAGGCGCGGCGAAATAGGTGGAGCGCCGGCTCGTAGCCCCACACGCGTCCCCGCCGCGCCGAAGCAAGCAGATACCCAGCGGAGCTCTCCCGAGTGCGAACTGGAGCTGCGAGTTTGAGCAAAAGGGCAACTATGTCAGTTGACGGAAGCCAGAAGCAGAGCTCAAAGCCTGGCGTGGATTTCCGTCTGGAGCTGTCTGTTTCTTAAAGTTTGTAACTCCGTGTTCTGAAACAGCCCCAGCGGAGGCTTTGGGAGCAGTGTGAAAGTCTAGCAGTACCATCTGACAGCGAGCTGCAAAACTTTGGACTGCATATTAAGCGAGGAAAGTGGATTGAAGCAAGAGTCAAGGCAATTCATTACATTACCGGCTTCCAGGCGGGAGCTGTAAGATACGAACTGGATCGCCACGGAGAAAAGTGGAATGGAGTCCGAATGGCGCTCAACAGCCCTGGTAAAATTGCGCTTGCCCAGCAACTAGAATTCCAAAGGAGCAACCCCAGAGGTATCAAGCATGGTGGGCGCTCAACAACTCCTTGTTTAGATCCTTCTTCCATTCATCTCAGAGTTTTAAAATAAACAATTTGAAGGAATTTACATTTCATAATAATAAGGAACACATTTTGAGAAATGTTAATTTCTGAATGAGGGGTTTTTTTTTTCTTCACCAGAAGAGTAGCTCTGCAAAAAAACCCTTAGGTATAAGTCAACTTGCTTTTTTTGTATCAATATAAAATAAGAATTACCCTGACCATCACCTACCCCAAAACTGAAATCTAAAATAAAATTAAATAAGTAAAGGTCCAGGCTAGTTTGGTTTGTGGTGGGTTTCAAACAAAGCAAGCACCCAGAGTCAATCTAACATGAGGGAAAAGGCACAAGCTCTCTCACACTCTAATATATACATTTTCCTTAACCACTTATCTCATTGGTGAGCTTGTTGACGATTCTTTTGTAGAAGATAGAGTAAAACTATTAATAATATTTTAAAGACAAACAAACCAACCCAGACTGGAGTTTTATAAAACCACTGGGCAGATCAGGAATTGGGCATTTCTGCTGAG